GGAGACTTATTCTTCTTCGTAGCTACCAAATAAATCTGACAACTGATCAAGTGTATACCTGTGTGCGTTGACGTTGACTTACAAATCCTCCAACAAATATTAGGCCTAGAAATCCCATAAAAAAACAGAGAGAAAAGAAAACGTTCATTTTGGGCTGGATCCGATGCGTCTATGTCAGAGCATGATAAATTACTTCCCTGAGGAAGTTTTGGAGCACGTGTTTGATTTTCTGACTTCACATCAGGACAGAAATGCAGTTTCTCTGGTGTGCAAGTCATGGTACAGTGTTGAAAGATTCAGCCGGGAGAAGGTCTTCATCGGCAACTGCTATGCCATCAGCCCCGAGCGGCTGATCGCCAGATTCCCTAGAGTTAGGTCCTTGGCTCTCAAGGGGAAGCCCCATTTTGCTGACTTCAATCTGGTGCCCCATGATTGGGGCGGTTACGTGTACCCTTGGATTGTTGCCATGGCAAGGAGCGGAATAAATCTGGAGGAGCTGAGGTTGAAGAGGATGGTGGTGTCTGACGAGAGCCTGGAGCTGCTAGCAAGGTCTTTCCCCAATTTCAAGTCTTTGGTGTTGGTTAGCTGTGAAGGTTTCACCACTGATGGCCTTGCTGCCATTGCATCAAATTGCAGGTATTGCACATGCCATGCTCTTCCTTCATTGAATAGCTTTCTTGTTGGGTTCAGATTGTGATCTATGTCCTATTTGTGAATGTTTGCGCTGAATGTACATTTGGATTAGATTCTTGTCATTTTGGGATGCTGTGACTGGTGCTAAAAGGTATATTTTTTTATTTATGGTTGAACTTTCTGTAATGCAGGTTTCTTAGGGAGCTAGACTTGCAGGAAAATGAAGTTGACGACAGAAAGGGCCAGTGGCTCAGCTGTTTCCCAGAGAACTGCACCTCTCTCGTCTCGTTGAATTTCGCGTGCCTTAAAGGAGAAGTCAATTTGGCGGCTCTCGAGAGGTTGGTGGCAAGATGCCCTAACCTCAGAAGCCTGAGGCTGAACCACTCGGTTCCTCTAGATACCCTCCAGAGAATACTAGTGAAAGCACCTCATCTGAATGATCTAGGAACTGGTTCTTTCGTCCACGATCCCGATTCAGATGCTTGCAACAAGCTCCAAAATGTCCTTCGAAAGTACACATCCATAAGAAGCCTTTCGGGATTTCTGGACGTCAACCCCCGCTGCCTCCCTTCTATATACCCTATCTGCACGAATCTGACTTCTCTGAACTTAAGCTACGCTCCTGGAATATACAGTAACGAGCTAATAAAGCTTGTCTGCTACTGCAAGAAGATAGAACGTCTATGGGTTTGAATCCTCATTAACCTTTCTCTTCATTTTCATTTTCATTATCTATATCTAAACAATTGTTGTGAAATTGTCCTTGATAGATTCTGGACACAATCTCCGATAAAGGGCTAGGGATCGTGGGGTCCACTTGCAAAGAGCTGCAGGAGCTAAGAGTTTTCCCTTCCGACCTCTATGGTGTGGGGAATTCTGGTGTGACCGAGGATGGACTCGTTGCAATCTCGGCCGGCTGCCCGAAGCTCAACTCACTTCTCTACTTCTGCCAGCAGATGACCAACGCCGCCCTAAAAACAGTCGCCAAGAACTGCCCGAACTTTATCCGCTTCAGACTCTGCACCCTAAACCCAACCATACCAGATGCCGACACCGGCATGCCGCTCGACGAGGGCTTCGGGGAAATCGTCCGCGCGTGCCCGAACCTGAGGCGCCTCTCAGTCTCTGGCCTGTTGACTGACCAGGTATTTTTCTACATAGGGACATATGGGGAGAAACTGGAGATGTTGTCTGTGGCGTTTGCTGGGGACAGTGATAAGGGTATGATGTACGTGCTTAACGGGTGCAAGAAGCTGAGGAAGCTTGAAATTAGGGATAGCCCGTTTGGTGATGTGGCGCTGTTGGCGGATGTGGGGAAGTACGAGACAATGCGATCCCTTTGGATGTCGTCTTGTGAGGTGACGCTTGGGGCTTGCAGGGATCTTGCGAAAAGGATGCCGGGGCTTAATGTGGAGATTATTGACGATGGTGGGGTTGAGTTTGGAGATGGTGAGGCGGATGAGAGGAAAGTGGAGAAGATGTACTTGTACCGGACACTGGTGGGCCCGCGTGGGGATGCCCCGGAGTTTGTGTGGACGCTGTAGGGATGAGCTGAGCTGTGGTAATTTGACAAATNTAGAGTGTACTCTCCAGTTCTGAATGAATAAACATAGTTTAGCTTGGAGATATAAATGACTTGAAACTATGGCATGCAAAAGAGTAGCAGTTGGTGATGTGTAAGAGATGAATTCTGCAATTTTCTTTTAGTTAGATGCATGACAGTATGAGAGGATGGAGTTGGTCAGACTTGATTAGGTTTCTTTTTAAAATAAGATTTCTGCTTTTAGGAATGAAAAAGAAAATGAATAGAGACATTTAGCTTGGACATGATAGCTAACATCTCAAGTAAACAGATGGACATGATAGCTAACACCTCAAGTAAACAGAAGAAACGGAGAAGAGAATGTTGGTAGTGGTACAAGTACAACTGAGAACCTCATTTCTGGTACAAACTTATAGATGCAACATATAGTCGCTAGCACCGGCACACGCAACATAGACCAGCCAAGACATAATTTCTAAGGTTGATCAACATATAAATAATAATCACAGATAAAATTAAAGTTTTGCCACCGAGTATGTAGCATTATTCTCATGGAAACAAGCCAGAAATAACCAGTTCACTATTGACTGAGCAACATATTGATAAAAGATGCCCTTAGCTCAAAAGCAGCAGCAGCACTCCTCCAGAACACAGCAACAACAGAGTGCAGCTAAACTGTAAAACAACAACACAATTCACTACCCTCAACCTTATAACAGTGCTTTATATTCAAAGAAATTCTTACAAAAGCTCGATTGAATACACTGCTAACAAAGAAATACAAACCTCAAGCAACAAAGATAATGATCTGATATCAAGTTACTTTACTAATATGCCCAAATTTTGACAGGTCATAGCATCCAAATAATGCTAAACATATATCAAATGGCTTGGGTCAGAAGTTTTGCCCGTTCAGTTCATTTTTGAACCATACTATTTCCCTTTCACCACACCTGTCTTTTGCAATTGTTAAACAGAATAATGCTGAATAAACATTTTTTCCCTAAAACATTTGTACTGCCCATAGGGTTCTAACCCCTGAGGGCCGAGTTCTCTAATTTATTTAATCCAGTTCTTTCCCACATCCTTCAACGAAGTGAAAAAGGGGAAAAAAAAAAGAAAGAAAAAAGAAACTAACATCAACAGGAAAATCAATGAATTGCTATGGCCTTGTGGAAGGGAGCATATGAATGGGAACATGGATGATCAAACAGTCACAGAGCCCAACTTTTGCGACACTTAAAAAGAAGCAAGTCTCAGCCTAAAGCAAAAAATGATAGTTTCTAGCATTTAAGTGCTTGTTTGAAAGCACTTGTTAGATGAACTTTTGAGAATAGAAGTCCATTGCCCATTATAATAGGCATTTGGTCGTCGTTTTGAAGTAGACTTTGAACAAGTCATTCATCAAAAAAGTTCATTTTCAAGAATTAGTTTGGACTTCTTGAGAAGTTGATTTATCAAATGCATCATTGCTAAAAGTATTCTTGAACAAGCACTAAAAATATCAACTTTTACTCTCAATTCAACATATTCTGCCCAGACTATGAGAAAGCAGTGATAGATGTGCTTTAAAACTCTTAACTATACGAATTCTGATATGAAGCGGTCGAATGGTTAGGGCTGCCCAAACAACCCTATTGTTTTAACTTGGATTTGACATTAATACACAGAAAGTAAACTTGAATCTAGACTGGATATCTCATTGGGCCACCTTATCCATTGACTCATTACACATCAAAACCTGGCACACCTTATCGAATTTTCATTATTAGGGATTTAACCTAGACTGGATAGAGAAAAAATCGAACATACCAGCCTCGTAAAAAGGAGGTACAACCCGAGTGATCATCGTCGTGGTGGTGGTGGTGATGGTGATCGATGTGGTGCTGAGGCGGTGGCGGGGGCGGGGGCCCACCACCGAAATATCCCTGATAACCACCGGGGCCCGGCGGCGGCGGGGGCGGATAATTGTACCCCGACGTGTAAGGGTGGCGGTCCGACGGCGGTTGAGGTGGTGCCCTCGGCGGAGGATATATTGATCCGTACCCTGATTAAGCAAGAGGGAATTAGTAATTGTTGAGATAAGCACGAAGATTTAACGAATTAGAGAGCTGAAAACGAAGGAATGATACACCAATAATTGTGAAAGAAAAAAAAAAATACAATTAAAAGGAATAATTATTAATTACAGATAAATTTATAGAGCAACGTTTGGGAAAACCTGGAGGAGGATAACTTTCTTGGGGCACTTTGTGATAACTCATTTTTCTGATTATTTCTCTCTACCTGAAAACACTGGGAAAAAAATAATGAATGATGAACCTGTGTTAAATCTACTTAGGTAGGTTTGTACCCGAAAAGAAAAAATCTACTTAGGTAGGTGGAGAGGCAAGTGGTTTGAAGATAGCCCTTGCTTACCATTGGTCATTGATATTCCTCCATGTTGTATTATAAATGCGTGAGATGCACAGATAACAATTTTTAGTTGAGAATTTAAAAACTAAATGATAGTTTGATATCTAAAGAGTTTTTCCTCTGAAAAAGCTCCCAAATCTCCTCGCCGCTCCCAAACCCCGCACAGCTCGTCGCTCCGATTTCAACCCGCCGGCCTTCCACAGTTGGCCGCTAGCTCTGCCGGCGGTCGCCGGCCCTAGGCCGTTTGGCTCCCCCCCTATTTTTTCTGCTTCGCTACCTTCTCTCTCGGCGTTCGTTCTCGTCGGCGCAGTCGGAGTTCGCCTTTTCTGGCGCCGACTTTTGATCTCGCGGCGGCGAAGACTGGGTTGGGAGGTGGTGGAGCCGTGGAGCGGTTCTCGGGGGGGATGCGCCTCAATTGCTCGGTGACCTAATTTGGGCGATTGGGGCTAGGCTGCGTTTCGTCTTCTTCTTCCCCGCTGCTTCTGGTTTTGAGGCGCAGGGGTCGCCGTGTTTTCTCCTCCGCCAGTGGTGTGGGTCGGAGTTGGGCCGCGGCGGCGCGTTAGCTGAAGGCAGCTTCCAGGCGGTTCGGGGTTGGGACGAGGCCGTAACATTTTTGTCCGATTCAGGGCAATATGGTGTTGCGGGCCTGGTTCGGGGTGGATTGGTGTTGTCCTGGGGTTAGGGTTTCGACACCGTTAGGCAACCGAATGGTTTGGGCAGTTTCGGGATAGATACTTCTGGCTGTGGGACTCACCTTCGCTTTGTTTCCGCTGGTTCGGTTTGGTGTGCTACTTTGGAAGGGCTTGATTAGTTATGTTTCTTTGTTTTGATTAGTTCAATGTTTGTTTGTTGTTTCAGTGTTTTTGTGTGGTTTTGTCGAGTCTTGTGGTGTGTTCGTTTGCTTTTGTTTGGGAGATGAATTCAGGCTAGGCATTGTGCAGTGGCTCTGTATTTCATTTTCTTTTTTTCTTATTATTGAGTCATCTAGGCCGCCATGTGCGTGTCCTCTCAGTTTGTTGTTTTGTGGTTCTTAGGCGTGTTTTTGGTTTGGGCTGGTGGCCCCTGTCTCATTACCCTGTTGGGGCCTTAGGTATTACCCTGTTGGGGTCTTGTAATTTGTTCTTTTTGCACTTTTGCGCGAATGTACGATAATGTTCACGAACATTAAATTAGTATAATTTTATTTTATTTTTTATATATTTTTATTTTTTATATATTTACATAATATTTTTAATAAAAATCTAAAATATAAAAAAAAATATTTTATTTTTTTATTTTTGAGTTCGAACAAATAAATTTCGAGTTAATCAAACATATTTAAAAAATTTATGCATTAAATTATTCGAACACGTACGAACTCAAACTTTGACGAACAATTAAACGAACAGGCTCGAACACGATTTTTGCTTGAAAAATAAACGAACGAACATGAACACTGTTCGAACATAAACGAACAAGAGCTCGAACAACCCAAGCTCGTTTCGATTCGTTTACAACACTAATTCTCATATATACGTCTGTTGTATCGGATCAACATGAAAATAATATATATTATTAAAAGCTTTCATGTACATAATTTTTCTTGTTTTGATTGTTGGCGAGCCATCATCACCACAAACTAATATTTCCAAACTCTTTCGGTTGATGACACGAGAAACAACAATATATAATTGCCCCGTACTAAACATTGATTTCTTTAAGATAGGCCAACATGAGTAAAAGACTGACCCTGATTCTTGTTTATGATCATGGCATAAGAAACCGTAAGTGGGACCTGACGTAGCTTGAACTTCAAATAAATTCTAACATGAGAAGGAATTATAGTCGTTCTATGAATCAACACCTTAACAATGTGTGAACCCTAGTGTGTATCTGTTACTCGAGACCATGGGCAAAGATTTTAATCGTGTCACATTACACTGACCCATAGAATGATCCATATTCCGCATCAATATGACCAACATTCTAATCTTCAAATGCATCTCATGATTCGTTATTTCCAAACATTTGATACTATTCCAAAACTCGGATGTGTGGACATTAAACAAAAAGTTGTTATTAGAATTTGATTTGAATGTACTCTCAGAGCCTAAGGATGGACGACCATCAGACAAATTTAACAATGTTGTGTATCTATTGATAAACTTAACACCTACAACATCGTTGTTAATATAGCCATGCCCTTCAAATTATTGGGACATCAGTTGCCTCCTTAAACATTCACTGCAAAAAAATTGTTATATTACAACGAAAAATCCTATGGTAATATATTCCAATGAAAATTCCAAAAGATATTCCAATGGTATAGCTTCCGTTAGAATTGGAATGATTTCAACGGAAATTCCAACTAAAATATTCCATTGGAATGTATTTTTCATTAGAATTTTAGGTGAAATTTGATGATTCCAACGGCTTTTGACCATAGGAATTTCCGTTGAAATATTTATTTCTACCACTGTTGGAAAATCTACCTTTGGAATCTTCAAAATCCAATGAAAAACTAATTCTGTAACGCCCCACTTTTCGTACGTTGAAATCAATTGAAAATTCAGAGTAAATTTTTCTTTGAAACAATACTTGGAAATCTTTACTTAAACTTAGGGCGTTACTAAAATAAACTTACTTGCATTTGAAACTTAACTTACATTTCGCGAACAACTCATGACTTTGTCTTACTTTGAAAACATTAGACATAAAAGATAAACTTTCCATGGCAATGCCTTGAGGGCTTGCATGTGACCTTGGCTTAACATTGAACTTTGCATATCGATGACATACACTTTGCTTTAAACATGAATATTCCATAAAAACATAACTAATTGCGGAAACGTAGAAACTCGAATCATATTATAATTCTATGACTATGTGACCACCCTCGCCATCGCTCCAATGCCAGCTCGCCATATACCTGGGTGTGGAAAACAAATAGGGTGTGAGCATTTCCACTTACTCAGTGAGAGATCCTTCTAAGTTACCATCCTAACCAACTATCATGCATGAAATCATTAGGTATACTCAACATAATCATGAGCTCCCGGCGAGTGGTTGCCCACAAGTCGAAAGACTTTCTTGCTACTACAACCCTATTAGACAACTAAACACTAAAGTCATAGCACGCACGTGAGTACACTATCGTCACACTCCCACCCCTCGTCAAACTCCTTATACCACTTTATGGTGGTGGGAGAACATTGCCTCTCGCGGCACGGCCAACTAGGCTTGACGAGAGTACCACCCGTGGGGTTGAAGGAAGACAGCCCTCATCATGGCTCCGTACAGTCTTATCGACGGGGACAACCGTTCGAAGTGTGCACCAACGAAGGTTACATGCACGCACTTACATACTCTAACCCTAGCATCTAGCCACCCTCTAGAGTTATAATCCGTGAACCTTGGTACTGCAACAAGCGACTTGCTCGAATGTTGGAACATTGTATAAACATGGGTACTATGCAAGCTACTTAACTTCATTCAAAACATAGATAATCAAAAAGGATAAATAACGTAGAACTTCCCCCACCTTTTTTTTTGGAATGCTCGACTTAAAGGCTTGAACTTGAAAGAACCTGAGGGCTCGACTCCTCGATAACTACATTCATTGGGGCATGTCTTAGAATCTTATCATGGCTTAACTTAAACTCATACTTACTCTTATACATATACGTGAACTTTGAAAACTTGCTTGCTCGGCTTCGCCTTGCTTGCATACTTTGAAAACGTTTGTTTATGTTTAAGTCTTTTCGATTGGTTGATAACTTAACTTGCTTAAATTTTATCACATAGGGAATTGAAGGATCATATAAACTTCAAATAGCATGACATGGATCAGTTATGCCACATAAACATGTCTTTAAACAATAACAATCAAATTTGGAATTCCAAACATGAGCTTATACAATTTTCAGCATGCGCGATGAACTTAGAATGCATGTAACTTTCAGTCCATAGGTCATATCATGATTATTCTAATTGGAAATTATCCCTAACTCATGACTCTACAACTTTCATGATGACAACTCAAACAGATAACGTCATTTAAATGCACATAATATAACAACCATCAAATTCATAGACGCAGTCAACGATTGAAGTAAAACAGCTGACAGGACTTCAGTAATTGCAAGATAAATGAAGCTACAGACATGATTTTCATAAGATTCAAAAACCACAAGATAGCCAACTTAATTATCTAAAACTTTCCTAAAGACCACATTGGCAAATAATGATATTATCATCGAGTTTCATCTTGAAACATTCAGATTATATAAACTGCCAGAAATCAACTTATATTACATACAGAGACTCAGTAATTTTCATGTATCTCGAGCTATAGGTCATAAAATAATGAAATTCCAGAGCTTACAGAAACTACACACATATGGCTACATATCTCATGAAGACCATTTTCACATTTGAGCATGTTTGACACATCAAAGTCAGTCATACATTAAAGGTATATTCTGAGTCCTAACTTCATAAAAACTGGGCACATAACTGACTTGTAAAAATCATATAAAATCCATATGAACTCCGATTTCCAAAATTCCAAAGCCTACTGAAACCATACACAATTTTCCACATATCATCTGAAGAACACATTCCCAAGAAACGAGTTCTTGGTCGCCAAAAACGGCTCACAACAGAGGCCACGAAACAGAAATTTCAGGCACAACTTCAATAGATCATCATCAATAATCATTCAATTCAACATGACACATAATTTTCATTAAGCAAGCTTTATTATCAACTTCTTAGACATTAAACATACTTTAAAATTATCAAATTGTCCAAGATCCAACTTGGTCTTTCATTAAATATAAAAGAAAATCATTGAATCTTATATAATTCTCTAGTTATTTTACATATCTTATCATGATTTATTAAGATTATGAACATTAAATTCAGCCCAAGAATCGAAAAGAGGGTTTACCGTGCTCGGGAAAAAGAAGAAAAGAATGACTCGTGAAAAAGCTCGGGCTCTTGGCGGTAGGCTTGAACGTGTGAAGGGATGTAGTTTTTCTCTTCTTTTTTTTTTCTTGTTGCGAGCGTGCGTTCCTTTTTTTTTT